AAATTTCGAGCTTTTCATGTGCGCTATCAGTATCATGCTGGTTTAAAGACATAATAACTTGGTAACACTTTTAACTACTCTAATTTCGTGTTTTGATTTTAATATTTTTAAAAGAAAATTATACATGCATAATTTGTGAAATCAGATCCATCTATTTCTACTCCCTAGTCTATACCATATCGATATTTTAAATATGGAAAATTGCAATCACGGTACCAAACATTTCATTTAGTAGCAAACTTTGTTTAAACCTTTCATTTGTGTCATAATAAGTACCAAAATCGTCAGTTGACTCCCAAAAAGGCTCGACCCGGTCCGAAAGTAGACCTTGTGGAAAAGCGGATAGGAGAGGTAGCGCGTAAGTCACGCGCATACGTGTTCTTGCCGGGAGTCAAATCAATGTTAGGGGAAATAGGCAGCTACAATCTTTAAAAAACTTCATTATTTTTCCCAAATAAGGTAGGGTTATTTTGGACAAATCACATTTCCCCATTTAAATCAAAAAAATTTTAAAAATAAAATCATAACCCCTCCCCATCTCCTTCTTCCCAAAACCAAAACCACTCACTGTGGCACCAATGAATCACCCGCGATACTGTAAGTGTTCTGCCCTAGGTCCAATCAATTTTGGACATAAACACTTTAAATATATATTATTGATGCATGCATGGCAATATTTATTATTTAATTAAATTAATATTCTAACAAATTAAATAATAGAATCCGTAGATTCAAGTCTTGGTGATTTGTTAATCACGAGGAGTTGTGATTGTGAGCTACAAATTACAAATGATCGAATCTTAAATCGTCCGTGGTCGAAGTAATAACGAGATACGGATATCGTTATTACGGATAGATCATCGCGTGTGGCATTCTTACTTGTCAAGTAAGTAGCTGATCTCACAAGTTAAAGTGTGGTGACACTTGAATGAACACGTGGATATTTTGTTATAGAACAAAATATTGGAGACCCGCTGGGAGATTCCACATGGATAACTATCTGAGTGTTAGTGGTTAATCTCTAACGTTCGGTAGTGGAATTGGTCCTTTGACTTGAGGTCGTCATAGTACCTTATATGAGGACAGTCATACTTTGATGGTGTTGGATGTTACTCTGCCAAGGGTCGCTAATACAATATCGTTCGGGTATGTCAAGAATCATATGAAGGTTGTGAATGATCAATAGAGGATTCGTAGCCCTTAGATAGTAAGAGATTATGATCTACATTTTATCCAGTTAAGTTAATAATGAAATCCTTGGCCAAGGTGAACTCGTAAGTCGAAAAAGAGTTTTCGACTTACATTGACTTAACACTAGGGTAAAAGATATGATCGATAATTGAGATTGACACGTATCCATATCTCATTATTGATTGGATCATATTGACGAAAGGATTATAATTTCACGGTAAACGAACAATTTTGTCACATCACGTGACATTTCTCATCACATGTATTGCCCTGACATATTGCTAGATGTCAATCCGGGACGACGAATGTGAATTAGTGATAAATTTGTTGACGTCTAAAATTGAGTGGACAAAATTAGAGTTAACTTAAGATACAAATGAACATCCAAGGGAAATAAGTGGAAGAGATTCCTATAATTGTAAAGCAATAATCTTACTTTCCAAATTATAAGGGATATTTAAAGTGTTACAACGAGTATTCTTGGTATTTTTTCCTAAGATCTTTCTTATCTCTTTCAACTTGCATTTTGAACCCTTTTATAGGAGGAATATTCTGACGCCTAGTATTCCTGTCTTGTCAACATAGAAAGCCGAACTAAGCTGAGTCATGTGTTGGCGCAACAGGATTGGAGCCCGAGCTCAACTCTGTGCTATTAATCGTGAGGTGATGGGACAGGTGGGCCTCAGCAATAAATGCAAAGTCTTAGCTAGGCAAGCTAAGACATCTGATTGGAGGACTAGGTGGGCGCTGACATAGGACCTTTACACGTGTGTCTCTCTGATTGGTAACTCAAAGATCTTGTCAGCGATCTGTAATCATTGATTACTGTCGTGCCTTGAAGGACTACAATAGCTTGTCGAGTAAGTTACTTAGAGCCGAACTGACCTCATACCGTCGAGCTCACGTTATTTCACCCTTATTGGGATATGATAGTCCGAGTTGAGCGACCTCTGAGGTCGGTGTCAACAGTTACCCCCAGGTCAGCTCTTATTTAAGTAAGAAGCTGACCTGTCTCCGAAATAATGCGGCACAAGTTCCAACTCACGTAATAATTAGCCCCCACAGCTATCAAGTACACTTGTCTCTTAGCGATTGGTGGGGCGCCTTCTTCTTTGATTAGCATTGATTGACAGCCGTTCAATCAATTTGATTCTCCCAACGGTTCAAATCCCGCCTTATAACATTCTTAGTTTCTCTTTCCTTATTTCATTTACTTTGACACTTCAAATCTTTCAAACCCCTTAGACTCACAGATTCTTGGCCTTCTTCTTCTTCTAAGAAATTTTTCGAGTGGAACCATTGTTCAGGTATTTCTTTCGCTACTTGGAATTCCTTCCACTTGTTTATATGAGTTCGGACGAATCTCGTGTATAGTCCTGAGGGAATCAACAGGAAGAATCTGCGTCTTCTTCATCCACTCCGTCGTATAACCCTTCCTCTGCTAGTTCTGACTGCCAGGAGGTGTTCACACATATTCCTATTGCATCGTATTATCCTCCACCACCTCCTCCAAATCCAATATCAAATTCACCTAAGAGCATGGAGCACAGGCGTAAAATAAGGGAGGAGAGGGCACGGAGGAGAGCAGTAGCGGGGATCAGACTTGGGGGGCGAGTAATCTTAGGTCGATAATAACGGAGAGTTCGTTAGCTGCTATTAGGAATATGTATGGCATTCCCCCTTCCGTAGAATTAGTTATGCCTTCTTCCTCTGACCGAGCTAACAGCCCCCTGTAGGATGTGTCGCTCTTAACGGTGCTATTCTTCAGGCTGGCATGCGGTTGCCCTTTCCAAGAATTATTAGGTCATTCTTTTCCTCTTGGGGAATAGCCCCTACTCAGTTATGCCCAAATGGGTGGAGGACCTTAATAGTGACCTTAATTCTATGGAGACAGTTAGGTTATCCAGAGATGGATGTTTCTCAGTTCAACTCCCTTTTTACCTTTAAGTAAGATGGGAAGAAAACGGGTTGGTG